AAAAAAAAAAAAAAAAGAACTGTGGTTAAGTGCAATTTGTTGTAACTAGAACACGCCGTAAAGCAGGGACAGCCTGTATGAAAGAGCAGATTAGGCGTAGAGAGGCAAGTGCATATGGGGAAAGATAGAAGCTACATGGAGAGCTCTCAGGGACACGGAGAAAAACACCAGACAACCTGAAACGAGGGTCTGTCCCCACAATGGACGAGAGACACAGAGCCTTCCCCCACAGTGGATGGAGAGACACAGAGCTTCCTCCCACAGTGGACAGAGAGACATAGAACCTCCCCCCAGAGCCCCAGCCTCCTAAGCCGTTGGTAAAAAACACCAGATATTCCTGTTATGGGAACCAAGGCAGGGGTATTCTTGCACACAAATTTGCCCCCCTGAATTCTCATAGCAATGCTTTATGGTAAATATCCATGTTACAACCATTTTACAGATGAGATAGTCAAGGCCCATGTGTGCTGCTGTCCTGGCCCAGGTCCTCTAGCTGGACAAGGCTAGGCTGAATCCAGGGATTCCTGACCCCATGCTGCTCCCATCCCTTCTGCTATTAGCTTCCTGCTGAAAAAGCTATGGAGAGAAAGGTGGGGACTGGGAGACCCCGAGAAGGAAGGGCTGAGCATGAGCTGCCCTTTAGCCATGACAAGTGCCTTCTGTGGTCGAAGACCACTCTGGGGGTTTAATGATTTAATTTCACAGAAGATGTTTCCGACATTGGCGTCCCTCAGATAGTGGTCCTCAGTGTGGTAACATGGGCTTCCTCCTGTATCAGACCACACAGAATCCTTAGTAATGCTCTCCCACTTTAGTCATAAGATGAGGAGCCCTGTAGCAGAATGGGTTAAGAGCTTGGCTGCTCACTGCAAGGTCAGCAGTTCGAATCTACCAGTAGCTCCAAGGGAGAAAGATGAGGCTTTCTGCTCCCATAAAAAAACATTTACAGCCTTGGAAACCCTATACAGGGCCACTGTGAGTTGGAACTGACATGGTGGCACACAACCGTCAAGTCAATTCTGACTCATAGTAACCCAGTACAGAGTTTCCTAGGAGCAGTTGGGAGGTTTAAATCCCTACCTTGCAGTTTGCAGTCCAGTGCCAATCCTACAGTGCCACACCAGGACTCCACCACCTTAGTCATAGAATAATATGTGATCAATATAGTTGTAAATTGCTTACATGTAATATTTCTTTACATGTAAAGAAATACTGGTAGTGTTGTTGTTGTCAGGTGCCATCGAGTCAGAACCGCCTCATAGCGATCCTATGCACAGCAGAACGAAACAATGTCCGATCCTGGGCCAACCTCACTACCGCTGCCACACTTGAGTCCATCAATGATGCCACCTGGCCAATCCATCTCGTTAGGGGTCTTCCTCTTTTTCTCTGACCCTCCACCTTACCCAGCATGACATCCTTCTCCAGCGACTGTTTCCTCCGGACAATATGTCCAAAGCATGAGAGACGAAGCTTAGCCATCCTGGCCTCCAAGGATCACTCTGGCTGTACTTCTTCCATAGTGGTTACAAATTGGACTACAAACGGCAAGGTCAGCAGTTTGAAACTTCTAGCTGATTCACTGGAGAAAGATGAGGCTTTCTGTTCCCGTAAAGATTTACAGCCTCGGAAACCCTGTTCAGAGTTGCTATGGGTTGGAACCAACTCAACGGCACTTAACAACAATATTTCTTAGATTATATGGATACTAAACAACATTGTTTTATGAAATCTTACCACACTGAATCACCACATTATTAGCTGGGGCAGTATGGGTAACTCATCAGTATGTTACCACTATGCTGGCTACTGCTGCTGCATGCCAGTGATCCGGTTCCAGCTCACAGCAGCCGTGTACAGGGTTCCTGAGGCTTTCAGTCTTTACAGGAGCTGGTAACCTCATCTATTCTCCTGCTGAGCAGGAAGTGGATTGGAACTGTAGATCTTCAGGTTATCAGCTCAATGCACAACCCACTACACTACCAGGGCTCCTTGATGCTAAGACTTCAGAAATTTTGCCAAAATCAACAATTCTAAAAAGCACCCGCAGCAGTGACAATCGCGGGAACCCGCAGCCCCTGCAGAGAAACCACATGATTGGAAGCATTGTTGTAATTGGGTAGCAGTAACAGTTCTGATCTTAGCACATTGCTGTGGTCGTTGGGAAGTGCCGTCAAGTTGATTCCAACCCATAATGACCCTGTACAGGAGCAGCTGGTGAGCTTGAACCACCGACCTTGCAGTTCAGACAACTTTGCAGTCTGACGCATTAGCCCACAGCGCCACACTAGTAAATTAACATCAGGTTTTAGCCTTGTAGGTATATTGATATAGGTATACCTTGTCAATTTGTGGGTTTGGTCAATTTCAGATGATTCCTGGTGTGACACTGTAGGATTAGCACTGGATTGAACCACAGGGTCAGCAGTTCAAACCCACCAGCTGCTCCTTGGAAACTTTATACAAGGTCGCTGTGAGTCTGAACCAACTCAACGACACTTAGCAACAACAACAACAACACTTGCTTAATAGATTCCTGATGTGGCACTATAGGATAAGCACTACACAGCAAACCACAAGGTCAGTAGTTCAAACCCATCAGCTGCTCCTTGGCAACCCTATACAGGGTCTCTATGAGTCAGAACCAACTTGATGATACTTAACAACAACAGATTACAGACAAATAGATGTAGGTAATAGATCTGCCCTCTGTCAACCAGTGGACAGAATCGATAGCTGCCCTCAAGTCTGTGCCAACTCAAGACAACTTCTGTACCAGAGAATGAAAGATCCCTGTCCTGTGTTACCGTCACAATCGCAGGCAAACTTAAGTCCATCAATGCGACTTTTGTGCCAATCCACCTCATCAAGGATATCCCACACCCTTGCTGGCCCTCAACTTCACCAAACTCAGTATCCTTCTCTAACAATTGACCTAACTAAGTCACACAGTGTTGTGATCCATAAGATCTCATGCACTGATTTTCACAAGCAGATCGCCAGGCCTTTCTTCCTTGTTTGCCTTAGTCTGGAAGTTCCACTGAAATCCTGCATGACCCTGCTGGTATATGAAATAGCAATGGCATGGCTTCCAGTATCACAGCGACACGCCAGCCAGCACAGTCTGACAGACTGACAGATGGATAGCATTTTTATTCACTAGGCCGATCTAAACGGCTTAATAAGTGTATATGTGCTGACAATTTAATAATCAATTTGAAAAAACAGTTCACATGAGTTGAAGTGGAAGGTAGCCATGCTTCCTGATAGGATGTGAGCCTCTTGGGCGCAGCACACATCGCCAACCTGGGGGAGCCAATGGGACATGGTCACCTGCATTTCCTGCT